AAAAATTTTCTTGTCGAGTGGCTTGGTGTGAACCCATATTGCTTGAACTTAAAACCATTTCTTTCCAACTTCCTAAGTTATCTTCATTAATAAAAATTTTAATAATTAAATCGAATCGAATCTTTTTCTACTCGCTTTTTACATTTTTAAAATATTGAAAATCACTGCGGCCAAACATCGCAATTCCAAGGCAATTTACTGTTTTTATATTGTTGATTTTATAACTGGATTTGACGAAAGAAAGGACGAATTGTAAATGCAATATTAAAGCGATTGTTGCTGAGGAAGAATAATATTTTTTGATGTACTTTTTTCGTTTACCATTTGTCGCATTCTTGATTTCCGGTTTAATTTTCCTTCCATTTGTTAACTACTTCTTGATGAAAATTTTTTAAATCATTTAAAATCACAAAAGCAATTTTTTGTTATCGTTTTCCGAAAATTTAAACGTTTCACTTACTTTCGTTCGATGCAACTTTTTTTAGTTGCTAGTTAAAATTCGACTGATCGGCCTTATTACATATTTATATTTTTCGTACATTGGCCGGATGGTTGAGTGATATGTTGCTTTGAATACGGTATTCGATTCGTTTTCCTTGATGGAAGTAGACTTTGGAAGTCGAAAAGAATTCGAGGAGATGCCATGAAGGCTTCTATATTTCCATTTTCAATGACAGTGGTCTTAACCTAGTAACCAAAAGAGCCAAGCTAGGAATGCTGGGAGGAAGATTTTGTAGTTTCCTCATATGCAGTTCACTTAACCTTTTGATTTCAAGCTGAATTTTTTTAAAATTTTACTGGACTTTTCATGTGAATTCATATTTTCAGTACCTTCAGATATTTTCAGTTTCTATGCTATATTTTTAATTCACTAATAAAAGCTTTGCTCGATTATCAGAATTTGACTAACCTATTAAGAAAATCAAAATTTTCATATTTTCGATTCGAAGACTTCAGGAATAACTTTTCATATACGATCTTCTATATGTCTTTTTCTTTCTTCAACTCTCCTATATAATATTTCTTTCCTATCTTCTGAACAGCAAATTTTTATATTGAATGTTGATTTTCAGATAAAATAGATTAAGTCTAAGTCCTGTTCGAAATATTTTAATTATTTATTTCTAGCGTTGATCAATTTTTCTGGATTTGTTATAGATTCAAAATTTTCAGATGAAATAAATAATGAATTGAAAAGTTATTTAGCCTAAAGCATATGCTACATATGTTAATGTTGTTTTATTGTGGCGCGAGTTGTCCTGCCTTCCTTTCTTTTCAAACATTGTTTTAGCACCACAACAACTACTTTAAAATATTTATTTACACATTACCATTCGAACCAACCAATCAACCAACAATCTTTTCCTTCTCGTCTGATAACTAACAACGTATACCTATTACACAGCGCTATTCAACGAACATAAATATGTCTATTTTTTAGATATATTTTTAACTTTGATCCAACAAAATAGCTCCGAAGCTTCCGCGTCCTTTTATTATTGTTCTCATGCGAATAAATCTGGATTTATTAGAGTGACCATGAAAGTTTGTATCTCAACATGGTAATCTAAGGGATTATCCACTCTGCCATACTGGCCCTTAAGATGTTCTTAGAATAATTAGAAATTAGATATAATTCTAGAAAAAGATAAAAACATTCTATAAAAGTTTATGCTCAAGAATGATTGACTCAGTTTTATGAAAATATATTATTTTAGTTTTTCACTCGTTTTCATTAAGTATTTACGTTGAAAAGAATTTTAAAATTCCTGACAGTCTTTAGACATTAGATTATGCGCTCGGATTTCTCAAAAATAAGTTTATTCCTCTCGGGAAGGTGGAGGAGAGAGGTAAGAAAAGATTGAACACTCTTGCCTCCCAACATGGTAATCTGACTTATTGTCGCATTTCCCTAGTTTTTTTTCGATTTTATCACACTTGCATCAAATTAATGAGCAATAAATTTTAATAAAATTCTATTTCGATCTTTTAGTTATGTGGCGAAAATTCCATTTTAAATATTACCATCTGTACTATTCTGAGGTCAACTTTCTATTTATGCGAAATTCGCCACAAAATTTTTTATAATTTTTGATTTCATGACAGCTTTCTTCACTTTTACAAATCCCAGAATTTTTGATAAGTTAGGGAAGATATACGATAATATGCGAACGGTGTAACCAGGATTCGCGAGTTTGTCGCATTTGTGTTTTGGATTTAAGAGTGCTTAATTTTGCAAATGAATAGAATGACTTAATGACTTGTCACTAAATCACTAAATTCGAAGCGCCGATGTTCTAACACGCATAAGTAAACCTGTCCAAAAATCCGGATGATGTTGGCAACTCACTTGTCCCGCCAAGGGACTCCGTGGTATATTTGTCTAGTGCGACAAACTAGTGGAGCGAGTGAAATCAGTGATGGTGAGGTCGCTTTAAAAAAATATATTCTATCCGAAATTATTACTTGTCATTACCAATTTATCAGTTATCAATTATTGTTTATTTATTTTTTTCCTCATTATTTTCTATTATTATTATCGTATTTATACGATTATCAAAAGTGTGTGATATTAGATCGTAAGGAATTTATAAAAATTGATAATTTTTAAGATTCAATAAGAAATAAATAAGACAATGGTGTGGGAAAATGCATGATTTTTGGTACTTTTGTATCAATGTTTTTCATAAAGATTAATATTTTATTTATTTTAAAGAATAGGAAAATATTGCTTCTCCATATATTCTTTTATAAAACGATTTGTTTTGGTCGTTAAGATCGTTTGTGCGAAGCTTGTTCCATAATCTTCATTTTATTCTAAGATGATTTTTTGCACTTTTTTTTCTTTTCACTTTTTCACTCGAAAATCTTTTTCTTATTGATTTTTATTATTTGATAATCGTAACTTCACAGAAATGGTGGAAAATTCCAAATCAAGAATTAAAAATTAGAAATTAATTAATAATAAACTAAACAGATAGCTTAAAAAGGTAGAATGGTCCAGTGGTATATATTGCTTCGAGTAAAATCAAGTCATCAGAATTTCACTTCTTACCACACTTGGCAACTATAAACCTATCATTATGCATGAAATCTACGCGGTGATAGGGATTTACATGTACTTCAATTTCCATATGACTGCCTGGTGAAGTGGCCTCATCCTAATAGCCGGCGAAGCTAGAAATGGCGAATATTATATTAAAAAGATCAAAAAAGAAGTAAAAAACTTAATCCAAAATTCTCTTGGTTCTTGGCATGAAATGATTTTCTTTATAGTAAAATAATTCCGAAAAAATGCTATTTCCATTTGTACCGTTAAAATACCGTTTACTTCAATGTTTTTTTTTGAAAAACTATCAAAATTTTCGCATTTTCTGTGGTTCGAAATTATTGCTTCTATGCTAAAATATTTTCATTAATTTATTATTATTCAAAAAATCAATTTAAAAAGCTTTTTCTTTTCATCATTTGCAACGAGTTTATCTCATTAATATTTTTTTACATTTAATTTATTAAAACACGAGACAACCGAGTTGCTCAGATTATGGCCGCGAGTGTCAAGGTTCGGTAGATGTAAAGTTGCCGTTAAGGAAGGTAGGGTGATGCTGAAGTCCGTTCTAGTCCTTTATTCTATCGCCAAGTAATTTCCTGCAAAAAATTTCTCATTTAACAGAGTTCTAACAACCAGCAGAGCGATTCTTGCCAGAAATGTTAGGGAAATGTTGGTGAACCCTTTATTTTTTTGTTCATAAAGAAACAGACAAAGATTTAACCAATCTTTTTGAAAAAAAATTTTAGTTTCTAAAAATTCTGCCTTTCTTTTTTCGCAGCAAACATTTTAATTGTAAATTAAATAATTGAAAACTGTATAGAAACTTTATGAAAAATTTTTCGTCTCTAATTTTATTGCCTTTCAAATTAAATTATATGGATTATGCAAAGTTTTAATTTCGAAATAATAAAATATTTAAGCATCGACAAAAAAAATTTATCAATTTTTACGTATTAATGGCAAAAATCAATCAAGAATCGTTCATAATTTTCTTTAATGGGAGAACTCCTGTCACCGGCAAATTCTTAGCACTCATTTTAGCACTCGAAATGATGAATTTTAAGCAAATTTGGCCATTCGGCTTCCAACATAATTCACTAATTTATGCACAAATCATTTGTTTAAATGATTCTTTTAAATTTGCTGATATTCGCTTTTAATCAAAAACTTTAGTGATTCGTTTTCATTTTAGAAAAATTATTTTTTTAATCATTTTTTTCCAAGTCATTTTAATATATTTTTATTTTTTTGCGCCCTTTTGTTAGCCTAAAATATTTCTTCCTTGAAAAAAAATATTTTGATACATAGCAAAATCGCTTTAAAGTGTATTCATTCATAGTAGAGCGTGCAGCGTTTTTCATTCGTTAACGATTCGTTCATCACATTTTCGCACTTTTTATTATTTTATCTTTAAATTTGCTTAATTAAATTTTGAGTAAGGAAATTCATTTAAATTAGCTACCTGAAGTAATTCTTTAATTTATAGCCATAAAGAAAAGCAGTTTTTGACGTTTTAGCGTGCAATGTCCACTTCAGACAATATTAAAGACAAAATTAGTCGTTTCTGCGAGAGAGACGAATACACGCAAAGCGTCAAATGCATCAACAAATTTTGATAAAAAGAACGAAACGTTGGAATCGAATCGAATCGGATCAAAATTAGAAATTTCTTAATTTGTCAAGTGAAAGTGTGAATGCTGGAAATTATATTATGGAAATTATATTATGAAAGCAATTAGTTAATTAAACAAATTGTCAAGGAAATTCGTTGAACGGCACTCTAAATCGTTTTTCATCGTTTATGCTTTATCTTTAAGGCGTTTTTCCTTCGAATCGAGATCACTTTTAGGCTCAAACAGGCAATTTAGTAAACATGGAGGCTTCCGGAATTTTTCACCGCACTAATATTAGCACCCTTTTTAGAGTACTAATCGTTAAGTTTGGAAGAATGGAGCGAGCGCCGCCGTGGTGCTCTAGGCAGCGTTTGCGGACGGTACGCTTGCCACGGAAGTCGTGCGAACGAGCGGTGGTCTCGGCACATCGGTTCGCTTTCTACTCGCTGCTCGGTTCTCGCACTGTCTGTCCTTCGTCTGTCCTTGTCGCTGCATTCTCGCTTCCATGGCGATTTGTTTTCACCCCGCTGATTTGTATTAAAAAATAATCGAATACAAACAAAATTTGATTCCATTTCGCTGATTTACTATAAAACTGAATTATTTTAAAGCAAATAACCGAGCGATTCTCTTTTCTAATAAATAAATAAACTCTTTGCCAACAAATTGGAATCCGAAAGCGCAAAGTCATTTGTCTAATCGAAATTCCCCAAACTGCAGAAAATTATTCCTTAATTTTTTATGAAATCTTCTGCGTTGGCAAAAAGGAAAATTAAAGCGAGCATAACCAGCCGGCATTCAGTCAATTAGAATTAGCAAACCTATGCTTTGCCTCATTACGAAAAGCTCGAGGAGTTCGAGTGAGAATCCACACATTTACCATTTAAATTATTATTTCCATCACTTCTCGTCTAATTATTTCAATTCCCCTAAAAAATTCTTCAAACAGTCCTTTCACTATATAAATGAGTCCGTGATTACTATTTTGCGATCTCAACTCCGTCAATTAGTTACTATTTTGCGGTTCAGTACCTGTTTTTTTGCTATTTTAAATTCATTCGTACTGTTTTTGGTTTTTTGTGGTGAAAATTTTGTTTAATAGGAAAAGTGTGGGTCTTTCGATAAAAAAATTTTTGGGACACCAAGTATTTAATGCAAATAACTTTTTGATTTATTTAATACTGAAAACGAATTTTTTAATCAATTATTTTGCACTCTTATGTTGGAAAATTATTAAGGGGAATTTTTAAATTATTCTTTCAATTTAATAAACTTAATTTGTTCTCGGAAATATAATTCTGTACAAATTTATTCAGCTATTGGCACTTCGCTTGGCTCACTTGGCTATGCAGCTCGTCGCACTTTGTTTAATTTATTCGCATAGTTCAGTTCATCTTTTATCTGCATTTTCTGTTTCAGAATTGCTGTTTTTTATTCAGTAGGTCAGTATTGGCATTTTTCTTCCATTTCTCTATGGATGTGACAACAACGCATCCAGAAGTAAGTGGAGTTGAAGAGGAGATTGGTTTTGTTAAAACAGGATGGTTAATTACTTGCAATTCATCGGTATGTTCTTTATTTTCTTCTTCTAACATCTTTCACTACTACTGATTAGGCTGGCTACAAGAATAAGATGTCGCCAAGCTGCTCGGTCTGGCGCCATCGTCAGTAGTTATAGAAGCTTTTCCTTTTTCCATCGTCTAAATCCATATATCGCTGGCTCGCCCATATGTTCAAAGTCTTTCCTGATTCTATCTTCTTTAGTCCAGGTCTTCTTTAAATGTCTTCTTGAACACTTTATGTGAAGAGACTTAGGTAAGAAGCGTTATCCTTTTTTCCTTTTCTTATATCTTTTCGTCCACATTCTCTCTCTTTTTTGCCAAAATTATACCAAGCATCGCTGCTACTCACATAAAAAAAGGAAATTGCTATTTTTTAATATATTTTTATTGTTTTTATGGAAATATCTGAAATATTTAATTCTTTTTGAAAGACTGAATTTTAATTATGGAATAATTAAATGATGAAGTTAAATTAATTTCTAGTTGAAATTCTAGTCAATTCAACCTAAATTTTCAAAAAAATTTCTCATTTCTATAGCATTAATCAAGTTTAAATTTAAATTTTTTTGGGAAATTGAAATATTTATCTGTAGAAATTTTGCAAAAATATTATTAAAAGTTTAGAAACTGCGAAAATATTATGCATTACTCGGTGATCGAGCGCTTGAACTTCATGAAAGTGAGAAAACGCAAAAGAAGAAGCGACATCCTCGCCATATTATTGATATGTCGACATGTTTTAATGTTCATCGACATGTAATTTTTGTTTTTATCACTTTTTTTCATTGTTTTTGCTTTTCAAATCTAATAATGATTAATTAGTGTCTAAGTGATATTTTATTTGTAGTATGAAGGAAAATTGAAATACTGTATAGCAGTAATGACACCTGACGAAACATTTTTTCTGAAAGACGAGACAGACATAGCAACCGACGAATGGTTTGATTGTCTAATATCTGTTTTAATACCGTCGCGTGCTTTACATCTTGGTAGACCTGTTCTTGCCTCAGAATTTTTCGGTAATTCTTTTTATATTGTTAAAAATCTTGTTTTAATTCCATAATGGATGATTTTTTTTAGAATATGCTTGGGATGTCACAATTGTTAGTCATCCGAAATTAAAGAAACCTATGCCTAATCCAGACAAAATACCAAATATGTGCAAGAAAGAGCCATCTTGGATGGGATTTCAACGTCTTTGCTTTTATCCTCATACGATTATTCTATGCAAGAAAGGTATCGAACCTGCGGGTCTTAAGGATCTCCATCCTTCCTGTATTCCGCCTTTTCGGCAAAATGATTTTACTGAACTTTCCGTGAGTTTTTACTGAAACATGGTTTTTTCGTTTAATTTGTGTTTGCTTTGGAGAAATTGTTTAAAAAATCAGTATATTTTGTAGAGACATAAGACATAAAATTAAATTTGATTTGATTTCGCTCCCTTATTTTCTTCACTTTCAACCTTTTTTTAGCGGAAATATATAGCAACTTTTGGATGCCAAGAAAAATATTTTATGATGAGAATGGGTCGCGCATCGCCATCAGGAACAGCTGAAATATGGGCGTTATGTGAAAATGAAGAAGTTGCATCGGAAATTCATGACTGCTTAAATAAAATTATCGAGAGAGAAAGTGAAAAGAAAAAAAAAATAGTGAATGGGTAAGTTTCTTTTATAGTGATTCAAATTATATTTCTCATTGTAAAATCACATTGTTACACCTCGCAAAATTTGTTGAAATAGTGATAATAGGTTATACCTAGAGTGAAATAGGTTATAAATAGATTAAACAATTTATAAATAGCATAAATAGAATTTATTTATTTGGGCTGGAGAATTCAAGATTTGAGAAAATATTATTTTTTCCAATTTTTTTGAATTCTTTTTTTTACCTTATAGTTCATTGTTACAAAGTGCATGTCATTCACTTTCCCGAATACGTTTGGAGGATCGTGCACGAAAAAAGTAATGATTTCATTTCTTGATGATTGTAAATTTATCATAAAATTTATGCTATATATTTTTATTTTTTTTCGCAACTTTCTTTTAAGTTTATTCTATTTCGTTCTCTTTTACATTTTTTTCCCGATAGTAATAATAAGATTTTTCTCTTATTTTCTTCTTTTTCTAACAGCTTTCATTATTACTGGTTAGATTGACCCCACTGGCTATAAGGGTAAAACGTTTTCAAGCTGCGCGATCTGATGCCTGATCATCGACAGTAATAAAAGTACAATAAGTAGGTAAAAAGTAATAATAAGAGTAAATAGTAGTAACAAAAGCCATTTTCATCCTCTAAGTCCGTATATTGCTGGTCCACATATATGTTCAAAATCTTTCCTGACTGTGTCAGTCCAGGTTTTAATTTCCTTCTCGCTTTTGGCGCCATCCTTCACAGGTAAATATGTGTTAACACCTGTGGGGGACAGCTCAGAACATGCTCTGACTAGCGAAGGCGACGCTGTATTATGGTACTGTTAATGCAAGTGGTATTTGAACGAAGGTGGATGCGATCATATGAAATTTTATCCAGTTGGCAATTCTTCTTTCTTCTTCTTCTAGTAGCCCACACCATTAGGCTGGCTCCAACGGCTAAAAAGGTAAGAGGTTTCCAAGCGGTGGGGTCAGATGCCATTTCTACAGTTATGGAAGCTATTCCTTTTTCCATCGTCTAAGTCCATATATTGCTGGTCTACCTATATATTCTTTCTTGATTATCTATCCAGGTCTTGATTGGCCCATCTCGCTTTTGACGCCAACCGTCACACAGTTTAGCAAATAACGAAATATGCGTCAACTCCTGTGGTATCTTATCCGCTCGACTGATCCGTAAAATGTGCCTTAGACAAGAGTGGTCAAAGGCTGCTAACTTCTTAATATCCTCCACTCTCTTTGGCCATGTCTCAGAACCATATGGTAAGATCGAGGGAATCACAGCTATATCGATGCGGACTTACGTTCTAATGGTAATTTCACGATGGCTCCATAAAACTTTCGTCAGCCGAAAGAACGCATGTTAGATGCCGTGATCCGGGTTGTAATTTCGTCTTTTGCCTGTCCATTTGGTATTAGAGTGGATCCAGAGTATTTAAAATCGAGATCACTTCCTCAACCGCAGCAAACTTATAAGATCATTCGATTCATGAAGGCATTTATCAGCTTTTTATATATAAGATGAAAAGACTCACGTTTTATTTACCCATTGACCCTGAGTTCGATTCTCGCTGCTGATACTATTTAACATTTTTGCATTTTGCATGTCAGCAAAAAGGACTACATCATTAGCATGTTCAGTATATGTGATATCATGATCTGGACTGATTTGTACACCTCTTGTATGCCGACAAGCTGGTGTCCATTGCTCCACTCCATCGAATATTGAATACTGGGAAAGGAGATAGTGATTCACGAGTGGTTCATATTTTTAAGCCTTGATATCGTTTGATTACACCTGAATTGCATACTTATGGCGTGTACCGTCGGAGTATCATGCGCTTTGGAGAACACTGACGCTGTGTCAAGAAAATCCGACACTTTCATAGATTCACTTGGGGATAAAATTACAGGTGAGTCTCTAGGATCCACCGGGGTTTTTGATATAACAGGTTTACTCCTGACAAGCATTATATTTTATTATTATATAATATTGTAATATCATATAGTATCATAAAGCTGAGAAAAATAAAAAAACTTTAGAAAATTAAAAAAAAACTTACCGTTTGAGATGCCCAGGCGAAGCAATAATCAATTATCAGTAATATCTAATAATAATTATTATTTTCTCTATCTTAGACCAGTTAGATGAATCGACCATTCACTAATCATATACTTTTCTTTTTTTAATTAAACTAATCGAATAGATTTAATAGTATAATTTAATAATTTAATGATACATTTAATGGTATAATTACGAAATTTTTTTTAAAATGGATTTGGCTAGTAAATATTTCTAAAAATAAGAACGAGTAGATTATAGAAAGAAAAGAATATAGCGAAGTTATGAAAAAATAGGTAACAATAATTTTCCAATCTTTTACTCTAATGCCATTTATTTTTTATTCAGATTGTCAGTCCATGTGTGCGGCAATAATGATTCTTCAATAAGCAAACTAAGGGCGTATTTAAGGGAAACGCGGGCAATGGTAAATTCGCTTGAGCAGTTGGGATTAACTGAACAGTCAAATTCAGATGCATTTAGTTTTACTAATTCTAAAATGTAATGGTTTTGCATTTTTCAAATCGTAAATGAATTTGTTTCTTTATGTTTGTTTCAATTCTTGAATTTATTCGCTCCAATAAGATGTTTTCCAGGCGTAAATGGTCATTATCAACGAACATTCCGTCTTCATCCAGTTTTTCTATAAAATGTAAAATCGACCGTTCACTTAGCGAAAATGAAAGAATATCTACATTTTCATCAACTGACAAGTAAGTTCTCCCTACAAGTTGAGGTTTATGGTTTTAGTTAATTATGATGTATTTTTTAAGTATTGCTTGGTTTTTGATGATTAAGATTGAAATGATAAGTCGAGGACTTTTGTTAGTTTTGTTCGTTACCAAATATTGAAAGCGTTAAATCAATTAATCATTAAAATTAAAATTTATGGCACTTTAATAATTATATTATTTACTTTATTTTTTTTCAGGCTACATCATTTAAAAAACAAAACCATAAAAGAAGAAATTCCATCATCTATGTTTCATGAAAAGGAACATAATCCAATTCATTCTTCGACTACATCGGTTGCAGATGAGACGGAAGATAGGTATATAAGTTTTTATTGTAGTAGAAAAATTATAAAAAAATTACATATATTTTCTCACATTTGCTTTAGTAGTGCTACTGCTTCTACTGCTTTGACAATTCCACTGCTTTAACAGTTTCAGTGGGGGCACTCTGCGAGTTGTTGATATAGATATGAATCGTCAAACGATGAATCAATTCAGAGATTCGAAGAATAGCACTGGCATAAAAGTTCCACAAGAGTTACATGATCGATGTTCACCTTGGTTAGCGCAACTGATTAGTCCCTCATTCACTAATAGAATTGAAATGGATGAACATCAAGATGAAGGATCGTTATCTGCCGCATGCAGTACGAGCACAAATGACGAATTCGTTTCTACTACACCGGGTGATAGTAAGTCTAGAAAAATTTATTTATTAAAGAAAATTGTCAATCGAAGAGAAATGGAGTTGTTATGTTTCCACGTTACCATTTCGATGAATAAAACAGTTTTAAAAAGACGAAAAAGATTGTTAAATCGATCGTAAACATGGAAACATATGGAAAGGAAATTTCTCTAATTCTTCTGGAAAGGGTTAAAAGAAAAATGGAATAAATTCAAAAGGGAGCTAAAATACTTCGAATCGTAAAAAAAGGAATATCATTTTGATAAAACTTTTAGTATCTGAGGGAACATCAGCCGACAATTTAGAATACATGCCGATGGAAATACATTCTTGTTCGTCAGGAAGTACATCTCATCTTGCTATTCAAAATCCTTGTTAGTTTTCTATATTTAGTTTTTCTTCGTTCTTTGTCGATTATTTCCGTTCATATGACTAGAATGTCTATTGTTTCAGTATATCTCAATGGTATTTTCGTGTTTATTTAAATTTATTTAGTTGAACAACAATACAATCTTGACGAAATTCGGTCCTATGTCTCGGACAGTAGTGATAGTTGCTATTCATCCATGGCTCCGAAATCATCAAGGTTTTGGTTCACTTGTTAAGATTTTGGCTTTCTGCTCGTTTTGCTATCGAATTTTAATTTTAATTTAATATTGTATTTTAGAACATACTCTTTCGGATCACATATCACCAGTCAACAACTTTGTCCTCGTCATCATAAACAGTTTGATGAAAGTTATCCGATTCCCGATTTTGAGAATTTGTAAGAATCCATAAATTCCTGCAAGTTGTATGAAATAAAAGTTTTACAATATTTTAACGGTTCATTTTTTTTTAGTTATTCAAAACAAGAGGAAAATTTGAAGCAAAACGCCGATTTAACGATAACAAATCGCTTCACACAAAATGAAGACTTGCGAAAAAGGGCGTTTTCTTTGGGAAGCAAATCTTGGTTTCAGTATGTGATCTTTTTGTAATTTTATTCACTGTTAAGTTGAGCTAGTATTATGTCGTACGCCATTTTGCGGATTTTTCCATAGTCTGATTTTTCCAAAATTTGCGAAATTTTAAGTATAAAATATGCTGCCTTTTTGTATTAATTTTTTGCTTGTTGCAGGAAACCATTTCGAAAACTTTCTCGTGATTTTATGTTTCGCGCACATCATCGCTCCAACGCTTCTGCTTCTATATTACCGAACAGTTCCAGTATTCCAACAGTTCCTGTCGCGCAAAAACCAAAAGTTTCAGGCATAAATTCAATTCAGGCCTACATTGCAGTAGATCCTCATCCATCACAGCTAGGTATTTTTATATTGTTTGTAGTTTGCCTCAATAAGTATTAAATCTTAAGTATGTTTAGTATTGGTAGAATCACTTTTCTCTTTTTTATTGTAATTGGTATGGAAAAAACCAGTTTATAAGCCAGCTTATTGCGTTTCATCATAAATGCATTAAGAATAATAGTAACTCTTTTAGTGAACAAAAAAATGAATTTATAATAAGAATGGTTTATACTTTTAGATCGATCAAGTAATCTTTCAAGTCTTTTGACTCCTTATGGACAGCGATCAAATTTCACAGATCACATTTCCTTGGATTTTGGTACTTCCATGATTGTTGGAAATCATTCAGCTAGTAATTCAGTTTATAGCATTGATGGCTTAAATCGGTACTTTTTTTGTTGTTTTTTTAAGAAAAGATTTTTTCTTTTTTCACATTACCATAAAATTACTGCAAAATATTGTAGATCTTCCATTGGATGTAATCAACGATGCACATTTCGTGATCCTGGTGATGTTGTGGTCCATAATGTGGATTTTAACGATAATTCGAGTGCTTCCATAAGTATATTTTATATATTTTTATATTTTTATATATTTATATATATTTTTTGCTCAGTAACGTTTTCTTTTTTTGGCTTCCTTTGTCATTCATCTCCTAAATTAATAACGATTTATTTGCTTTATAAACTTTATAAATGATTTTATATTGAAATATTAGAATATTGACTTCTTTCTAATCATTTAAGCCGAAGGTCTGAAAATTAACGTAGAAGCAAATCGCGAACGAGATGAATATGTGGCGTACGATCCTGTTCCGAAGGCAACAGATTTTCGGTCAAGTAATTTGGCTCCAACTACATCCATTAATGAAATACACTTTGGGTGCTCCAATTTTATTGATTTGCGTGGTTCACAGCCTTTCGAAACTATTGTAGAGAATAATTCGGGACGTTCATCTCGTGCATCATCAAAGTCTAACATTTTCATTTTACTTGTAGTACCAGATCTGTTTCGCTTCATATATACTTCATTTTATAAGAATTGAAATTTAATTTTTCTTAAAATTCTATGTAAAAATATTAGTGGGATTATAAAAAACTGAAAATTCTACATGTTTTTTCTCTAATTTCCGTAGGTTTTCTCGTTTATTTAGAGTTTATAGAAAAAATATTGTGCAACAAAATTAATTCATGAGAAATCGGTAAAAATTTTTATTATTTATTCAGAAATTCGATTCGGAATGAAGCGATTGAAGATAAATTTTCAGTCGAAATGCAAAAAATTAAATTATTCCAGGAAGCTAATGATCCTGTAAAACAATTGTTTGATCAGTTCTCTGTAGATAAATCGGAATCATTTCAGGTAATGCATAAAACTTAATATGGTACTACGTACATCCTAATACCATAATTTTATAAGGCTTTTTCATAGAAATTTTTGTGGTCTATCAGTGTTTATTCAATACATTTCAAAAAATTCTTTCCATAATTTCAGACAAGAAAATCATCAAAGAATTATAAACCTCATGAAAAAAGTACAGAATTAATACAGAAAGACATTAAACAGTTGATGCGTAGTGGTCAGTTTGACAGTGTTTTCGGTTCTTCATGTAATGGATTTGGGGTCATATCACAATAGAATTATTGGAGGCCATCAAGATAAGGATAACTTCAAAATCCTTCATTGGTCAAAAAAGTTCGTCTGTAGAGTACTATTCAGTTCTTCCAGTTCCTTCACCAGTCAGTTGGTTTTAGCATTTGCTAACAACGTCCATCAAATACAATATCAAATACAATACAGAGGTTAGTGCTATAATATTTTTTGCATGCTATACGCATGTGACATTTTAATTTTCTGACAGCAAAACAAAACAATCATAAGACCTTGATTATGGCCAGTGGTCTATGTTATCGTCTCACTGCAGAAAAAGGCAATGATTTTAGCATGTTAAGTTAATCATTATTTATATACATTCAGTATTTTTAAAAAATTAAAGTGGCTTCTTCAAACATGGCCAAAAAAGGGCGAGAAATTCTGTGATTAATTTTATTAGCAATTCTTACCATTTATGATTAAATAGTTTGCATAAAATAAATAGATTATTGTAAATTTTTCGGAAAAAAACTTTTTTTTTCAGTGATTTATCCATGAACGTTATTGAACTATTGAAGTATGTTTCTATAAAATATGAAAATTTGGTTATAAATATTTCGAAAAGTGTTCAAAATTGTTGTAATTGGTTTTACTAAATCTTTTTTGAAATTTATTGTGGTTTGACTGTTAAAATTATGCAACAGGCATTGATCTTCTTTACTATCAACATATCAATTTTAATTCAACAATTTACCTTCATTAGTGAGAAAAATTATGAGTGATCCATTATTGTTAAAAATTTGTTGTAAACATGAAATTTTAATTTTTTCTTATGTTTTTATTGCCTTGTGAGCTTAATAAGTTTTTGCTGCCTCGTAAATATAATTTTTTCAATGAGGATGAATATTTTCGAAGTTTCTCCGATTTCATGAAATGTGATATTTTATTCCTAATCATGCATAAAATTTCAGATCCTGGCGAAAATATTATTAACATATCCAATCCTGCTTTCCTTTTGCTTCGATCTCAGTATGATCTAAAATTTCCTCCTTTTTCTGCCAGGAATTTTCATAATTCATTTTTTGGAATTTTAATGAAAAAGTTGGGATTAAAATTGTTTTGATTTTCTTATGTGGAATATCGAATTATATATTTATAGATTTTTGGATGGGGTATAATTTGTGATTTTATGATCTTTATTTTTATAAATGAAAAATGGATCTTGCAAATAAATTTGTAATAGATTTTGTAAAAATAAGTAGATGCCTTGTTTTCTTTTTGATTTTGATTGGCATAAAATTTGCTTCCTTTTTCCCGTAAAATAGGAAATCAATATGAAGAAAACTGGAAATAAAATTGCAGTAATTTTTTATTCTTAAGAGTTTCTTTAATGTTATAGTCTATTACATCTGTAATATATTTTTTTGTTATAAATATTCGAGCCTTAACTTTCAGGAATATTTTTTGCTCAAATTCTCATTTGTATATTTTATAATTATTTTTTTCTTGATTTTTAAAATTCAGTGAATGTTTATAATCAACCATTAACGATAAAATTAACGACTGAGTCCAGTTATATCTCTTGCTAGAACTTGTAATATTGCAATATAAAGTCCAAGCGCACTTTTTGAACAAAAATATTTATCATCCGATGAAATATTAACAAAATGGCGATAAAAAGAGCACATCTGAAGCACTATAAATAAATAAGGATAGAATGTGCATGTGAATATTCCTCGATACATGGCTATTTAATATCTTTCACATCTTCCCCTTTGGAAATGTTTATGGAAATAACAGCAAATAGTTGACACGCACCATTTATGGTTAAAAGTGCGATGAGAAGTGCTTTTGCGAAAGGTGTGAGTACATAAGAGTCTCTTGCAGAACCAGGATTTCTTATTAATAGAGTCCTGCTGGAGGTATGGTACGAACCTGGATGCTGGGGACACTAGTCTGCGCAACAACCACTGGCCTCTTGTGAGCCATACGTAATGCCTATTCCACCTACCTATTTCAGGAATTTTTTATTGGAAATGAATATTTGTTAAGTTGTCAAAATAATTAGATAAAGATGGAAGAAACATAATTTTGACGGGAATTTTATTCAACCTTTTAAAAATTTTATTGTTAGGGACTACGAATGATTTACATATTTACAGTTTATTTTTAAAAAAAAATAAGAATTTAGAAGATTTTTGGTAACTTTTATAGCTTAAATTGTAAGATTTCTTCAAAAACTATTTCCTTTCTTTTATTCGTGAATGAAAAATCAGTTTTGCTTGTTGCAATTGAAAGCAACATTTGGTACATGATTTGATGCCATTGTTCCATTGTTCTAATGCGGAAAAAATTTATATTTTTGTCGAATTATTTATTAAATTTTCCACAAAAGTTTTATAGTAATGAAATCAGTGCTAAAGCAAATATGATGAGATGCACTACAGTACCATTAGAGACAGCAAGAGCAGCAACATCACGGCGGTGTGTTATCGCATGATCAATTGGTTTCATGTACTTTGATGGCGCAATCCATTGTTCGCATTCCTTTGGCAAATTTACAATCAATTTCGATTCTTGTAAAAGCTCTACGATTGTCCTAGGAAAAAAATTCTAAACATAATTTTCTGATATGAATAGTTGGGAGCTCAATTTTATGAGATGAGATAACTTTAATTCCATTCTAATACGAGTGGAAACTTACAATGATGTCTTACGGTTGATGTATAGTACGAATTTCCATGCCTTCTCACCACAAAAAGCATCTGCTTGCCATGCTAAGCATTTGTCGTACATTGTAGCGCTTCTATAAATATAGTTGATTGGAAATTTGAAATTTTTGAATATGGTGATAAAAAAACATTTTTTCTTCTATGGTATCATCCACCATTTTAATCTTATTTTTACTATTAACCAGATTGTTGACCATTTTTCTTTTTATTCTTGGGTTAGATTATAACAGAAAGGTACATCTATGGTCTCTCAGCACATCCGATAAGCTCAACAGTTAGAAATAGTCACGAGATCATTTTTCTGTCTAGATTAAGCCTTTTATCGTTTTTTTTTCGATTTTTAAGTAGTTCTTTAAATACATTTGTAACGTTTTTTATTTGACTGTGAGAGGCCCATTCACGCAATTGCGCTTTCCAGTCAAACAAATTTTGATAAATCTGATGTTAATTTGCTATTGCTTGGAAAAAATTCCATTAATTATTTTAGTTTATGCTCTGATTTTTTTCGGTGTTTTCAAGCTGCGCAATATGATGCCATTGTCGACAGTAATAAAAGTAATAATAATAAAAGCCATTCTTTTTTTCATCCTCTAAGTCCATATATTGCTGGTCCACATATACCTTCAAGATCTTTCCTGAATGTGTCAGTCCAGGTCTTGATTTATCCTCGTTTTTGACGCCATCCATAAAAGATTTAGGATTTAATAATTGGCTATATATCAACTCCTGTATTGGATGAAGAAGAACGAAAACGTGACCTGACCAGCGAAAGTGACTAATTTAGCTCGGCAGATCAGATCTTTTTGTTTGATTTAGAAATAGAAACCATTTTGAATTTCGCTTTTAATAATTGCTTCATTCCTTTGAAATTGTAAGAATCATGAGCTATCTTCTTTGACTTAGAATTGGATAAGTAACCATTCTAGCATCGTGTACGTATGAGTTGTATTTTTGTATGATATTTCTACTTGTATCATTGTTCAAGATAATTGTTAAATTTAAATTTTAGCTAAATTTTAGCTAAATAGCTAAATTTTAAATTCAAAAATTCCAGACTTCGTTTCAGAAAACCTGAATTATTTTAGCATTTTATTGAGTACATCACTTGCAAATGTCGGCGATATGGTAATGCAAGTTCCGCGCTGCTCTTTTGATTAAATCCACCATTGCATTTTGAATTATGGCTCGTTGAGGTGCACAAAAACGTCCCACTGCAGCACCATGGCGTGCCCAACATGGCAAAACTGAGGTCAAAAATTCATCTTAAATCAATTAGCCATTTGATGTGTTGAATATTAAATTCAAAATGTTGTTAACTGGGAAAAAACTGTAGTTGATTGGTAGTTCGATTAAAAGAATAAAAAATCCGTAACTATCCTTCGTACCTGTATTTCGAGCAAAAGCATCACATATGTTCATCCAGGATGTTTGTCCTTTTAACAGGATGTTGCTGATTTTTCTTTCTCTGCATTCAAAAAGACATTGAATGTATTCGTTGTTTGTTCTAGAAATAGTTAAAATGAAAACAAGCTAATTTTACAATGATTCTTCAAATAATATTTTTTAATAAAATTTTATTTATTAAAAATGTTTGTCTGTTCCATTTTTCCCTTAAATTTTTGGGAATAGCCAACCATTATAAATTATGCTGCTGGCGTATATATTCTCCTATCCTAAAATAACTGATGAAATAATATAATAGTTTGAATTTAGTTATCAGTGGAATTAACTAAAAAAGATAGAATAAAACCCTTTACTTTATTGTCATTATCAACAACTATTTAGTTTTCCTTTCCAACGTAATAAATTCTAATAACAGCAAATTGATATTAAAGAACCATTGAAGATTTGAAATATGGAAATTGCAAAAAAAGTTCACTTGCAAGCATTTTGAAGCCTTTGATAGATTACGGCTTGATTATTGAAGGTTTCAGATAGTCCTTTTATTAAACTATGTAATGGGCTGGAAAGTTCCATTGTCCACTCTTCAGTATCATCAAGAATTTTTTGCATTTCATTCACCTGCAATTTTCTATCATATTTATATGAGTAAATTTTGCGCGAACATTTTATTAAAGGTATATTTTTTTTATCAGAATCGTTTTTTACCAGCTATAATCGCAGATGACTAAAAGCTTTGCGGGCATACTTCAAGTGAAATTGGATGAAAGATTGGACTTCCAATTTGGTTATTTGGTAAATACTTACATAGTTGTCTTTGCAACGGAGCAAGCATGATGATGGTTGAGTTGGCACTAACTCATTCAAACTTATAAAAAACAATATTAATTGCGAAGGTTTTGTCATTGGCATCATTGGTATATTTAAATCTGAAAATTCACTTATCTGAAATGGGTTTATTAAATTTATGATTTTCCAAACAATTTTATCCAACAAAAAAAAACGCATAAAATCACTGGAAAAAAAATTACATACAAATAATGATTCGCGAAACCGAATAAAAGTGAGTACAAAAAAAGACAAAACTGAAAATATTAGAGCTCATTTTACAAGGTGGTTCTCACTTCATTTTCTCACTTGTATATCTCAGCAGTTATTTTCTATTGGTCTTTTACAATTAGTCAATAAGATAAATGCGAAATGCACAAGTGCAATGAATAAGATCTTCAGGACACAAGAATCGAAATCGAAATGCAGTAAATAGGAATTCGAATGGTGCCAAATAACTCCTTGATGAAAAACCTCATTCCAGTGGTGCAGTCAGCCAAACTAGAAATGGTTTTAAGAGAAAAAGAAGGGAAATAAATGGAAACCAATCCCAAAAAAATATTTAAATACTTTAATATATGCAAAATTGGTTTTGAGAAAAGAAAGAGATTTTCTCTATTTGCTTTTTTAATTCTAGGAAAAGAATTAAACAAGATGCCAGTTGTGGATTTATTGTAATTTATCTGAAAAATAGAATAAAAATTGTAATCGAAATTAGAAATTATAACGAGGTATGAATTATAGAAATATTACATTACTTTTGTCTAAAATGAGGTGGGAAAGGGACTATAAAAAATATAAAAAATAAAATATAAAGAATATAAAGAATATTGAATATAAAGAATGATGAATAAAGAAAGAAAGACGAGGGAAAAATAAACCAGAATTTGAAAAATTAAATCCAACGATTGAGACGAAATGAAATTTCTTAAAATCTCGGACCGAAGCAACCATACCAAACGGCTATCCTTTCTCCATTTAATTAAGTTTTTTTCTAAATTTTCCTACACTTTTGTACCATTTATTTCAATTAGCTGGATAACTCAGCAATAATCTATATTAATAACGAAAAAGAAAAAAATGACAATGCCTTTTTCTCTTAGGTCATAAATAGATATGACCAATCAGCTGAAGTGATTTAATTTAATTAAATAAAGTCACCAAGCAGAGAGTAAGGAGAGTTCGAAGAATGAAAAAAGGTCCCATCAAATGGGAAGTTTCCTGCTTCCTTCACTTTTAAAATATAAAGAATAAATAGAAATGAAAAAGTTTAAAAAAAATTTCAATCGTAGTAGAAAGGATGAAAATTCTAATTATAACTATATTAATATAGATCAATTTTCGCGATTTAAATTACCAGTATTTATGATTATTAATAATTCTTATTAACAATGTTGACTCAAATCGAGCCGTCATAAATTCGATTTTTGTCTTTCTTAATGAGAAAAAATTTGCCATTAAAAATCCATTCAGCTACCTGCGACCCACTCCTATTGCTCTGGCCAAGATTCTCTTTAGAAAAGATCTCATAACAGCCATATCACCCAAAATAGAAATGGGAATGAAATAGAAATGAAGTACTATTAGAAGAAGAAGAAGAATATCTGCCATTAATATAAATTAATTTAATATTTTCTAGAAAGTTTTATTAATATTATTATTTTTGGAAAAATTCGAATTATTTTTGCTGGAATCAAGTCAATCTCTATCTATGCAAAAATTATAAAATAATTAATATTAATATTAAAAATATTATATTTTTATTATATTATATTATATTATATATATTATATATTATAAAATATTTTTAATATTAAAAATTAAAATAAGTCATTTATCCTTAGATTCTCAAAAATATGGGATATAGAAATAAGAAACAAGTTAACTAAGAAAGAAACGAATGGGTCAAAGGGTTTTGTGAATCTTTGCAGCGAAAATATGAGTCAACTTGCACTCATGGGAATAATGTGCGAATTGGAATATGGATAAATGAAATATGTGCCGAACATTCACTGCCAATCGAAAATTGTTTTTCGAAACTAGAAAGTGGGAACTGGAAGGCTTAGCTTCTGCACTCCTATTAGGTTGAGAGTAAATCGATTCAGCTACAAATTTTATGCTATGAAAAAGAAAATATTTGACGTGTGGAATTTTTTTAGTTTGAAAAAAGTCGCAAAATGAGTGGTTAAATTTTCCCTATATTAAATATCACATAATTTTCTTAAGACTTTGGAAGCATAAATTGATTTCGACTGCAAAAATTTCACTTTGTAAACTTTTTCAATCTAAACTATAATCGAGTGATATGTTGCTTCGATCAAAAATGAGCCTTGAATTCATATCTCTTGACTGAAGTAAACTTCTCTTTAAAAGTGAAATCAGAGTGACTCAGAGTGGCTCGCCAATAATTTTACTATCAAATTACTCTCTGGCAAAGATTCCTCTACTAATTAACAAAGCCATCGATACCAGAATTTATCAGTGCAACTGAAAGGATAAAAAAATTAAGAAATTAGACATTTTACTGATGGTATGATTCTCCACTGAAAAGTCGTCAAATTGAAAATTATAGTTTAAAACATATTTATGAGAAATGGTTCATGAACCACAGGCTTTTTAAAATTTTTTGGAATTTAAATCTTAATTGTTGAAAATCTTCGACATTTCACACTAAACTAACTCCAGCCGCAATACTTAATCAGTTTTCCCATTCCCTTTCATTTGAATTCCCTTTATAGCTGCAATCGCTGTATTTACTTGCTGCTGAATGCTTCTATGAAAATTAAATTCTGGTGTAAGGTTCTATATGAAATTTGAATATAATTTGATGCAGTGAATGAATGGGTATGAATGGGTTTTTTGATCGATTCCGTAAATGTGCTTAATTTTTATAAAATTGTTTTATCAACTAAATTTAATCACTAATACTTATCTAACGGATTAGACTTGGTTAACAAGCCTTATTCCGACGTTTTTTTTACCTCTATTGGTTCTATCGACAAATGGAACTTTTGCAAATACGTTTTTTTGCAATATTCGACCTATATATTGTTTTTCATCATTTTATGGAACTCCACATTTTCTGCGAAATTCCATCTTGAACCCAACAATTCTTTTCGAAGTTCCTGAAATTAAGGCTATTACTAGCTTTTCAAAAATTATCAAGCGACTTAGCAGTTTCCAACCAGCGCATTAAAAACGGTCTATTATTTTCAGATTTGAAAAGCTTTTAGATCCAATGTGCACAAAATTTTTTCAATGAACCTTATGGCATTTCTCAGTTTTTAAATATTTTGTACTTCTTTACAATACACAAATTTTATATTTTAAATGTTTAGAGTGTCTTTTTGTGTGACAAACCAATGCCATTTTGAAATCTTATTGATATCCTCAGAGAACATTTTCGCAACTGAGTGTTAATAATATTTACTTTCAGTATTGGTTTTGTAAGTGAAAGGTGAATATTAGTAAAATATAACGCGGATTTCGAACTTCATTTTGATATGATTTGATTACAATAGGAACGAAATAATATTTTCCATGAAATTACAATCAATAAAATAAATTACAGTAAGATTACAATAAATAAAACATAATCAGATAAAAGATAATTATTATATACATTATCATCAAATATTCAAAAGATAAAATAAAAAGCAATCATCAGAAACGTTTGAAAGAAGAAAAATGTAGAAAAAATAAATGAGAACTATTAAATCAGAACTTATATGATCTATATTGAATATTTTATATATTTAAACAAAATATTCATAAAAAATCCAACGTCACTTTGGAAAATCTACGAGGAATATGGAAAAAAACATGACATAAGAATAAAGGTGACTTTATAAATGCGATTATGCACGTCAAATAATAAATTCCATTTTCAAAAATATTTTTAAAATATTTTATATTTGAATACGTAGACTTTCAGAAATATAGAATTTATAAAAACGAATAAAATAATGAAATATTAAGTTAAACGAATATTATTTGGTTGGCAAAGCTACCCAAAGGTATACAATTTGTACAAATACAACTTGTTCGAGGCCTGAATAATAATTAAGAAGAGATGAAAGGACTATGAAAACCGAGAAAAAAAAATTTGTTTTAGGATCGACCAGTTTCTTCAAAAGGGATCAAAAATTTATTGAAAACAATTTTTTATAATTTTGTTTTCAAATTAAAAGACTGCAATAAATGTTAATGCACCAAATTCAAAACTATCAATTTGACTCAAAAAACAGTTTGAAAACATGAAAATATAAAAATGCAAGTAAACCCGAATATGAAAAAAAGGAGAACTTATAATCCTAGCTGCAAAATTAATTATAAATGAAATCTTAAATGGATCAGATTTGTGAAAATAAATAGCAAATTGCCTTCTACCATATAGAATTGGCGATTATGTCGAAACAATAATTAGTGGAATCATTCCATGATTAAAAAATTGACTAATTTTTGCCCTACTTTTCCAATTTATACATTATGATATGCCACAGATCGATTCATTGTTCCTTGACCATTATATTGGTTAGCATACAACTGACGAAATCGTTGATTATATGGCACTCTTGACTTGAGCTTCGATCCTTCTTCACATTTTAGTGGCATGGTTTCCGCTTTTTGCCACGCTGTAGCGACACCACTTATCTTAAATTACAAAATTAAAAATATAAAAAACGAAGAACTGAAGATTAAAAATAAGAAAAAAGCGCTTAAAAACGAGGAAAAAGAATTAAATATATATAAAAATCCTTGAGAACAAAACTGACTAAAACCAAAACTAACCATAAGCGGAGGGCTACATCCATTAACATTAAAATGATCCGAAAATGGTGACATTAAAACGGATGAAGATTGAAGCGATGTGATTTCTTGTTGAATACTCTGTGTCAGTCCTCTCAACGATGGATGCAAACTATTCGGTGAAGGAGTAGTCGAATAATTCGATCCATCAGATGGAGGAGGAGTCAAAGGATTTAGAGAATTTAGAGATGTTTGAGCTGACGCAGTAAATGAAGGAGATGGATCTTTTTTTGGCATTGGTCTCTAAAATATATTAACTGATAAATCGGAATGATTAAAACCATTTATAAGAATATCGCTCAGCCAATATAATTAACACAACATTTTTAGAGAAGCAATTGGAGCTTCCACAGTTTTATAGAAAGCACAAAAATTAAGCTAATTTGCTCTATTCTAATGGAAAATACTGGAATTTTATCAGAATCTTTTAAGAAAAAACAAACCACTATGGTTTTTCTGGTTCCTTTTTTAAATCTTTGTGCAGGAAAATTCGTCACACTAGTAGATATGTTTACTGTTGGAATCCGCTTCACAGGCGTTGAATCGAGAAAATTAACTACATCAAGGTGTAATTTCTCAGCTGCAATATCGCGCGGTGATCGCTCTTTTTGGTCGGTTATTTCTTTGCTAGCACCTAGATGAATGAGCAATTCAACAGCTTCAAGATGTCCTTCTGATGCAGCCAAAAAAAGTGGAGTTTGATCCTGGCAAAAAATCAAGTGAAGAAAATGAAAAAGGATTATTATATTTATATTATATTTATATTATATTATATTTATATTATATTATATTATATTTATATTATATTATATTATATTTATATTATATTATATTATATTTATATTATATTATATTTATATTATATTATATTTATATTATATTATATTATATTTATATTATATTATATTTATATTATATTATATTTATATTATATTATATTTATATTATATTATATTTATATTATATTATATTTATATTATATTATATTTATATTATATTATATTTATATTATATTATATTTATATTATATTATATTTATATTATATTATATTTATATTATATTATATTTATATTATATTATATTTATATTATATTATATTTATATTATATTATATTTATATTATATTATATTTATATTATATTATATTTATATTATATTATATTTATATTATATTATATTTATATTATATTATATTTATATTATATTATATTTATATTAT